GCCTTCAATAGACAAAAATTCTGCTACTTCTTCAGCTAGCTAAAAGTCCCAGAAAATGCAACTTCAACTGATTTTCCCTTTGATGTATAGTTACTCAGGGCATCTATTTGTCCCATCATAAGGAAGTGTGCTGAGCAGACTAGAAATGTAAAATTCAAGCAAGTGGTTGTCAAACACACAAGGCAAAGCCAAATCCAAGGCCTGTCTGATTGACAAGGTAAAAAGAGGATGCATCACTTTTTGAGTGAAAAATTTGGCCTGGGTGCTGGTGGCTGATGCCAGTAATCTTAGCTACTCCAGAGGCTGAGATCTAAGGGTAGCAGTTCAAAGCCAGACCCGGCAGGAAATTCCCTGAAGCTCTTAACTCCAGTTAACCACCTGGAAACTGGAAGTGGAGCTGTGACTCAAAGTGATAAGAGTGCTAGCCTTGAGCAAAAGAGCTCAGGAGCAGCACCCAGACTCTCAGTTCAAGTCCCAGGACTGACAATATTAACATTACAAAGAAGAAGAAAAAAGTTTCATGGGCTTTCCTGCCAGAACTAATAGCTACTAACTACCATTCTCAGATCTCAGCCTCTTGAGTGGAAGAAAAGTGTGTTTTTTTTTTTCCTATCAAAGTAATTTGCTTTCTTTATTATGAGCATTGTTTTTCTGAAGTTCCTACTTTGGCAAGGTGGCTTGGCTGTTACGGAAATGAACTCCCTTCCCATAGCTTAGCAAGCTCCTTCCCCTCTCCACAGCTTAGCATGCTCCCTTCCTAGGCAACACTAGGCCCATTTAATAAAGACAGTAAATAATTCCAGATGGCACTTCTCTGGGGCAGCTACCACTGACGGATCCAATGAAGGATCCCACACATCCATCCCAGGGGATCACGCAGAGGCAGGCAGGCACAGGAGAAAGATTATTATAAGGTTTATTCGAGGAGCCAAGAGGGAGCAAGTAGCCTCCGTCACCATCCAGGTAGCAGGAAGGTCTGGGGAAGCAAGGTAGATGGGAGTTCAAGTGGGTCTGGGCGGAAAGGAGGGGACAACTGTATGGAGAGAACTCCAGGAATGGGAGGGGCTCAGGTTTTTGGGTGGAGCTGAGGACCAAAGGTGGGTATAATGCTTACGACTACCACATAAGGCAATGAGAGCCCCTTAGAGCCCTTTAGGTCTGGGCTGCTGCAGAGCCCCTTATCTACTATTTGGACAGCAGCCATAAATCCTAGTCCACCTTGATGAAGCCCCTGGCCCTCATGTCCACATCAGAATCTCCACCTGCTAGCCCCTTCTAAACCTTCTAGGTTATATAGGTCTCCTCAGACAATAGCTGGTGCTTCTTCTCACTTCCCCTTTGTGAGAAGGGGTCTTGCTAGCCCCTTTCCTGACAATAAACCTTTCTTTGTTCTCTGTACCTGGATGTCTGCTTGGTTTTCTGGCAAAGTCCAAATAATCTAATATTGATTGGCCTTTGTTAATTATATTTTAATTACATCCTTTTCCTGCTACACTTCAATTAAAATACCCTGTTAGAAGCTCCTTAAATTTTAGTTGCATCCGGTTAATTAAAACACATCCTTTTGCAGATTGTGAGCCTGGCTCAGCCAATGTGAGCAGAGGGGTAGGGCCTGCTGGTTATGGGTAAGAAGGGAGCTTGTTTGCCAGATTTTTGCCGGATGGCCTACCGTTTTGCAGAAGTAAACTTGGCTTTGCATCCTTTCAAATTGGTATCCTTATTTCTATACAACACCCCAACATCCCAAGCCACTTCTAACACTAGGATTATAAGCAAGAGTCACCTTTGCTTGGCCATATTGTTTTTTATTTTTTTCTTTTTGGGGGGGGGTCGTGGTGCTTGAACTCTGGGTCTGGGCACTATCCTTGAGCTCTTCAGTTCAAGGCGATTGCTCTACCACTTGAGCCACAGCACCACTTCTGGTTTTCTGGTGGTTAACAGGAGTTGGGAGTCTCATGGCCTTTCCTGTCCAGGCTGGCTTTGAACTGTGATCCTCAGATCTCAGCCTCCTGAGTAGCTAGGATTACAGGTGTGAGCCACTGGCACTGGGCTTTATATTCTTGTAAATAAATATACCAAGGGCCAGACTCAAAAAGTTGAAACCAGGGGCTGGGAAGGTGGCTCAGTGGTAGAGTGCTTGCCTTGCATGCAAGAGGCCCTGGGTTCGATTCCTCAGCACCACATAAGCAAAAAGAAAAAACCGGAAGTGGTGCTGTGGCTCAAGTGGTAGAGTGCTAACCTTGAGCTGAAGAGCTGAGGGACAGCGCCCAGGCCGAGTTCAGGCCCCACAAGGGAACCAAAAAAAAAAAAAAGTTGAAACCAGGAAGCAACTAAAAAGCTTCAATCTCTTTACATGCTAAATTAAAAGGCCTGTGACTGCTTTTTCTTGAAATTGTAAAAACCTGGCAACTTTCTGTGAAGCTGTAGATGCTAAAGAGGAAAAGCTTTATCTGAAAAAAGCAGTGGTAAAGCTCACCTTTTGTTCCTTTGTTTTAGGTAGGCCTAGAGACACCTCTTTATGTTAGAACAGCAAATAATACCCACCTAGGCTAAAAAACATTGCCTTAGGGTTGGGAGCTGCAGAGGATTGGAACTAGCATATTCTCACAGTTTAGAAGAAATAAAGGTAGCAGGTTAACTGCTTTCTTTGTTTTGGTGCTACCCTGGGGCTTGAATTTAAGGTCTGAGCCAAGGCCTTGAGCTTTTTAGCTCAAAGCTGCACTCTACTGATTGAGTCACAGTTCAACCTCTGACTTTTTGATGCTTAATTGGAGATAAGAATCTCAAGGATTTTCCTTTGGTAGCTGGCACTGAACTGAGATCCTTAAAACTCAGCCTCCTGGGAGTAATTAAGATTAGAAGGGTGAGCCACAGATGCCCTGCCAGCTGTCATTTGTGTGCATGCATGCGCATGTATGTGCATGCATGTCCTGGTCTTGGGACTGGTATTCAGGGCCTGGGAATTGTCTCTGAGATAGTTTGCTCAAGGCTAGTGATCTACCATTACTTCCAGGTTTTGGCAGTTAATTGGAGATAAGTGTCTTAGAGACGTTGTTGCCTGGGCTGTCTTCTAGTCTTGATCCTCAGATCTCAGCCTGGGTAGCTAGGGTTATAGGTGTAAGCCACAGATGCCTGACAACAACTGTCATTTTGAGTCCTTAAGTCCCATTTTCTGTACAGGGAGCAGGAAATGTTTCTCTCCCTCCTTTAAACTGGCACTTAAGCTGTCTAGCTAGAGCCTCCCATTTCCTTTCATGGGATACTTTTTTTCTATTAAATTCCTTGTTGTTGTTTTTTTTTTTTGCTGGTCCCTGGGGCTTGAACTCAGGGCCTGGGCACTGTCCTTTGGCTTCTCTGTGCTCAAGGCTAGCATTCTACCACTTGAGCCACAGCACCACTTATGGCTTTTTCTGAGGTACTGAGGAATTGAACCCAGGGCTTCATGCATGCTAGGCAAGCACTCTACCACTAAGGCACATTCCCAGTCCTTAAATTTCTTGTTTTGGCTGGGCGTTGGTGGCTCATGCCTATAATTCTAGCTACTCAGATCTGAGGATTGCAGTTCAACACCAGCCTGGCCAGGAAAGTCCGTGAGACTGTTATCTCCAGTAAAGCATCAGAAGATTGGAAGTGGTTCTGTGGCTCAAGTGGTAGAGTGCCATGACAGAGCCCAGTCCCATGACAGAGCTCAGTCCCACGACAGACCAAAAAAAAATTCCTTATTTTGTCAGTTTACACTTTCCGCTTGAGTTTTCATTCTGTTCTTTGTTGGAGATGCTAAGAACCTGGAGAGTTCACCTCTGTGACCACTCACCAGTGATTGCAAGAGTGAGACTTTTTATCTCAACTATAAAAAGGCCAGCAGTGTGCAGACCAGCAAGTACAAGGTCTTAAGTTCAAATGTCAGCACAGCTGGAAAAAAGAGTTCTCTAGTTATACATGTTTCAGTTTCAAATTTCAGATAGTGTTTCCTGTGTCTGTGTAGGGAATTGGCAAAGACATTCCATTTTCCAATCACATTACTTAATATGGCCACTAAAGGGGTCCTGTCGCTTCTACCTTCCCAATGACAATCTTTACTTCTCAAACGCTTCAAAATATATTCCTTATACCACAGAGGGGGTCTTGGTCTATCCAGTAGTCCACATTATCAAATATTTGTTCATTAATTCAAAAGATTGATAGACCTTTTGTTTCAGGTGGTAGCGTTTAGTCGTGATTAATACACATTATTTCCTGCCCCAGGTGCCTGTGTCTCATGCCTGTAACCATAGCTTCTGAGGAGCCTGAGATCTGAGGCTGCAAGTTCGAAGCCTGCCTGGACAGAAAAGTCCTTAAGTGTCTGATCTCTAATAAGTACTAAAAAGCCCACAAGCGGCACTATGGCTTAAGTAGTAGAGCACCAGCCTTGGGCAATAAAGCTCAGGTATAGCGCCCCAGTGCTTGCGTTCAAGCCCCAGGGAGATGTACACACAAATGCACGCATACGCGCACGCACACACAAGCACACATCAATGTGGAGCCAGCAGACCATCAACCATCGGGTGCTTTCTAATCAGAAGGGCTGTCATAGATGGATTACGTGGTTGAAGGTATGCCTAACACCAGACTAAGCACTCGAGTTGGGGTGATTCATGTAATGTGTCCAGTAAATGTATTAAAGAATTTTACTGTTTCCATAGCACACCAGTAATTCTTGAGTCCTCTGCTCAGACCAGCAGATTCCTATTAAGTCAGCTTAGCAGGGAAGGGTCTTGATCATACTTGCCCCTCCCATAGGGTCTAGTTTAGGAAAGCTTGATGCTGCTGTAGTAGAGTGGGCGAGATTTTTTTAAAAAGCTACATTAGCAACATTTTATGAAAATTTTGGCGGGCGCGGGTAGCTTTCCTCCCTTTTCTCCTCCCACTCCCCAGTGACCCCCCCCTTTTCTTCCCGGTCCCTCCCTCTGGGCCGCCTCCTTTCTAAGTCATTTCCCCTTCCCCGCCCCATAGACCTTTGCTCTCTCGTGGAATCTCTTTCCTGCCGGCAAGGAGTGAAGAGCGTTCTGGCTTTAGGAATCAGGTGAGAAATGCCTCCCGAATTCGGAGGAACCGTAAAGAGAGGAAGTTCCCCGGGGTCAAGCTGCAAGAGTCCTTGCCAGCTGTTGGCTATAATAGCCAAGTGAGGGAGGTGTCGTGCTCTCACCCGCTTGCTTTATATATTTATTCATTTATGTATTCATTTATTTTTCTGGGACGCGATCATACTGGCGGCCGGGGCAGCGTGTACTCAGCTTCCGGAGCTGCCGTGAGTTCGCGAAGCGAGTGGGGAAGGAGGGGGGGGAGGCTCGTCGTCACGAGGAGGGACGTCGCTGCCCTTGGAACTGGAGGGCGGGGCGGGCCGGCGCCAAAGCCAGCCATTGCAAGGGGGGACGGTGGGGAGAGGCAGTATTGGGTTCTGAGGATGCCTGCAGAACGTCGTGTGCAAGCTCGCTGATTCGTGCGGTGAGGGAGTAAATGTGTGTGGACCGGTGTAGCGAGGAGGCGCGAGTGTGGGAGAAGGGAGAGTCGCAGGTTCGGGGACTTTTTCCGCAGGTGCCTCAGTATGGGGGCGTGCACGTGGTAGCTGGGGCGGACACGATCGCGAAGGTGTGGCCGTGTTTCCACATGGAACTGCGTGAGGGAATTAAATTGCGTGTGCGTGGGGTGCGTGCGTTGCGTGCGCCGCGGGGTTCAGTACGTGTGGGGTGCTGCGTGCGTGGGGGGGAGGGGAGAACGGCTGGGAAGGCTGACCTGCCAGGGGAGCTGACACAGACTACAGACTGCATGCACGCGCAGCCTAGGTAAAGTAGTCAAGCAGCTCTTGCTTGCTGATCGAGCTCAAAGTTAACAATTTTCACCTCGTTTTCTTTCAGGTGGGCAAGAGTGTGCACATGGAACCCTTGTAAATCTGAGGAGAACTATAGACTTTCTTCCACCCAAAAGCCACTCCTTTTTTTACATGGAGGTATACAATTCGTGGGCATGCGGATGGCCACTTGTGGACCCCAAATTATGATTTTAAAGCGGGGAAGCAAACCCAAATAGGTTACTTTCTTTACTGTTCTGTTAATGTGACTTAGAAATGAAAAGGAAATGGAAACGTTTAAGTGTTTCTATTTATTCATTTGGGGGATACTGAGTTTGAACTCAGGGTCTGAGGTTAGGCTGGCACCATACCAAGAGCAATATCGCGGACACTTTTTCTATTTATTTTTACTATTCACACTGGTGCATGCCTCAGCTGTGTTCTGCCTAATGTTGGTTTCCAATCATTGCTTCCATCACAAGGTGTGTGCGCCACGGTATCCAGCGTCTCTTAGACTCTTCTGCCTACGTTGATTTGGAACTACGATCTGCTAACTGCAGCCTCTCTTGTTTATGTAGACTGACAGGCACATCCTACTGTGCCCAGCCACAGCTTGAGAAACAGTCCCGAGAACTTTTCTACCCAGGCCAGCCCAGCGCCAAGATCCGCCTGTTCTCAGCCTCCCAAGTAGCTACAATTACAGGCAGTTGGCTCTCTAATCTTTGTGTTCCTATCTTGGGTCTTGTATGGCTTCCTGTTCTAGTGTTCTGCTCTGGTGGGAAGTGGTGTGTTCCAAGAGAGAGGAATTAGACACAAAATTACCCCCGAGATAAGATTGCAGAAGGATGCCCGAGGCTTTCAGGATTTCACCGGATTACAAGATTTGTACTACTCTTCTTGAGCTGGCCCTGGTATATCACTAGCTTCAAGCCTCACTGGTCAGCTGCTTGCAAAGTAAGGTCGGACCACATATTTAGAGTGTTCCCTTTTGTTATACCCTCCATTTTCTCCATGGGTAGCAAGGATTTGGGGTTAATGAATGTAAAGTTGGAGCTAAGACCAGTAAGTCTCAGTTTTAGTCCATTTTTTTTTATTGAGTAACTATATAAACTTAAGCAGGTGTCTTAATCTTCGTGTGCCTAACTTTGCTTATTTATAAAAATAGGATGTCAGAGCACAGCGCCCTGGTGACTCATACCTGTAATCCTAGCTACTTCAGATGCTGAGATCTGAGGACTACTCTTCAAAGCCAGCCCAGACAGGAAAAGGTCTGTGAGACCCTTATCTCCAATTAAGCACCAAAAAAGCCAGAAGTAAATCTATGGCAAAAGTGATAGAGTACTGCCCTTAAGCAAAAGAAGCTCAGAGACAGTGCCAAGGCCCTGAGCTCAAGTACCAGGACTGGCACAAAGAAATAGGATAACAACTAGGCACCTATACTCTTACTCTGGCAGCTGAGACCTAAGGATCATGATTGAAAGCCAGCTTGGACAGAAATTCAAGATACCCTTAACTCTAGTTAATCAGAAAAAAAGCTGGAATTGGGGGCATAGATCTGGTGGTAGAGTAGCAGCCTTGAGCAGAAAAGCAAGAGTGTGAAGCCCTGAATTCAAGCCCCAGTACAAATACCAAATAATGAAATAAATAATAACCGCTTATAGGATTTTTGGAAGTGCAAGTAAGACTAAAATTCCTAGAAAATGGAAAGCCTTTAATGAACTGCATCTTTTTTTTTTTTTTTTTTTGGTCCAGTCGTGGGACCTGAACTCTGGGCCTGGGCGCTGTCCCTCAGCTCTTCAGCTCAAGGCTAGCGCTCTACCACTTGAGCCACAGCACCACTTCCAGCTTTTTTCTTTTTGCTTAATGTGGTGCTGGGGAATCGAACCCAGGGCCTCATGCATGCGAGGCAAGCGCTCTACCACTGAGCCACCTTCCCAGCCCCAATGAGCTGCATCTTACATAGAAATATATGTGGGGGCTGGGAAGGTGGCTCAGTGGTAGAGTGCTTGCCTTGTATGCATGAGGTCCTGGGTTCGATTCCTCAGCACCACATAAGCAGAAAAAAGCTGGAAATGGGGCTGTGGCTCAAGTGGTAGGGCACGAGCCTTGAGCTGAAGGGCTGAGGGACAGTGCCCAGGCCCAGAGTTCAAGCCCCATGACCAAAAAGAAAAAGAAAAAAAATATGTGTACAGTGGGTTCTTAGTTTCTTAAGAGAATTGGTCCAACCTTACTGTACATACAAAATGCCTTAGAGGGCATAAAAAATCCTTGGACATCCAAGTCTCTAAACAATTTGTCTTTAGTTGGTCAGAGGAGTTTCGTGTGTGTGTGTGTGTGTGTGTGTGTGTGTGTGCGCACTCGCGCTGTTCCTGATATTGATGAGAGTCTTGCTGGTTTTCCTGTCCAGGCTGGCTTTGAACAGAAATCCTCAGATCTCAGCTTCCTGAGTAGCCAGAATTAAAGATGTGAGCCACTGGTACCTGGCTAAAAAGGAGGGGTTTCAACATGCCAATTTATGTATGCAATGCATCTTTTTTTTTTTTTTTAATCGGTCATGGGGCTTGAACTCTGGGCCTGGGCGCTGTCCTTGTACTCTTCAGCTTATGAATGATGATTGCTCTACCCCTTGAGCTACAGCACCACTTCCGGTTTTCTAGTGGTTTATTGGAGATAAGAGTTTCATGGACTTTCCTGCCTGGGCTGGCTTTGAACTGTGATCCTTAGATCTCAGCCTCCTGAGTAGCTAGGATTACAAGCATGAGCCACAGTTGCCCAGCTCATCTTTTTTTTCTCTGGTGCTGGTACTGGGACTTGAACTCAGGGACTTGGCCCTGAGTTCTTCAGCTTTTTCTCAAGATTGGCACTATACCGCTTCAGCTACAGCTCCACTTCTGGCTTTTTGTTGGTTAATTGCAGAAGAGTCTCAATGACTTCTGCCTGGGCTAGCATTGAAGTGCACTTCTCATATCTCAGCTTCCTGAGTGGTTAGGATTACGTGCTTGAGTCACCAGTGCCTGGCCTGTGCAATGCATCTTAATCAGTGTTACTCCTGATTTTCTCTCCCGATCTATAATAGATCTATAATAGAATATACCCTAAATATAACCTATGTACATCATTCTGTGTTATTATACCTGAGACAAGGTAAATGCTATGCAAATAGTTGTTATCCTGTGTTGTTTAGGAAATAATAGCCAGGAAAAGACCTGTTTGATATAGAACAGTTTTGTTTTTATTCCAGTCTTGGGGCCTGAACTCTGGGCCTGGGCACTGTCCCTCAGCTCTTCAGCTCAGGGCTAGTGCTCTAGTGCTTGAGCCACAGCACCACTTAGGCCTTTTCTGTTTATGTGGTGCTGAGGAATCGAACCCAGGGCCTTATGCATGCAAGGCAAGGACTCTACCACTGAGCCACAGTGCCACTTCCAACTTTTTCTGTTTATGTAGTACTCAGGGCTTCAGAAGCATTTGAGGTGAGCACTCCACCACTGAGCTACATTCCCAGCCAGTAAGGTTTTTTTTTTAATTTGTATGTCTGTGCATGTGCACTTGCACATGTTCACATGTTCCAGTCCTGAGTTTGTACTCAGGGCCTGGGCACTGTCCCTGACCTTTTGTGAACAAGGCTAGCTAGCATTCTACCACTTGAACCACAGCTTGAGGTTAACTGGACTTTTCTGCCTGGGATGGGGTGTAGCTTTGAACCATAGATAGAATTACAGGTGTGAGCCACTGACACCCATTTTAAGACTATTTTTCATCCTTGATTAGTTGAATGTATAAAAGTTGAACCCACTGATAAAAAGTATGGACTGTGAAAATATGCATGCACACATATAAAAGATGTATATGTGTTTACTTCTAAAGAAGTGAAAGTAAAAATTTTCATCTAGCAGAAAACACTAAGCTGATTTCTTTTTTTATTTTCTAGGCACACTTATTTATCCTTAGCTAGAGTCCACAGAGTTGGTCCTAAAAAGTCATACCTAAAGTATGGTTTTCTTTTGATTTGCCATGTTAAGATCTCCCCTAGATTGCTGCTTTGATCTTTCAGCCTTCACAATTGCCTACCTTCCTCTCCTTCACTACCCAGTGGCACCTTTCTCCACTGCTGTTTGTATGTGACCTTGAACAACTTACTTTGCTTCCTTAAGAATTCTTTTTCTACCTGAATGTAGCGTCACATGCCTGAAATCCCAGCAATTATGAGGTGGAGGCAAGAGGATTGAGCTAAGTCT